TAGATCTTCAATTGATTGAAATCTTGAATTTTGCCTCTTAATTTGCCTAAAGGTGTGATGAATTGCCTCTCTCTTCTTGTAATGTTTGATGTATTCTAATGGTATGACTGTCCTTTAATCTTTCTTACATTTTGTACTTGTAAGGCTAAAAAATAGGTCCAAACATTGTCCAAAAACCAATTCCAAGAGTTCGAACCGAAAAGGAAAATGGCTCGTTTGGCAGAAATTAGAATTAGCCCATGCGTGCACATGGGTGTGGCCTTGCGCGAGCATGGCTATCACTTTTCGCTTGTAGTCTTTGCAGGCTTGTCCGTTGTGCACACATCCACTTTGTCCCATGCGTACGCATGGGTTAATTTCTTTGCCCATTTTGCAATTTGGTCCCCAGCTTTCTTCCTACTTTCAAGTGAAGTCATTTCTTCATTAAGTCTTGATCCTTCATCTATCAGATATATTGAATTGATTCCGTACAGTCTTCAATCATCGATCTTAATCTAAATCAACTTTTAGAATTTGTAATTTACTCCCTGAACTTTAAATATATTACTTTTNNTGTCGATTTTCATTCATGTCTTCCAATTTCATTTTTACACAATGCGTTTCATCTAACAAAGAGAATAGACAAGAGATTAAGCCATAATTTATCAAAAGTACTCTTAAACGCTTAGATCACTTATCAGTACTCCATTTCTCGAATTTAGTCCTACAACCAAGAGCATGAACATAATTCCTAGATGAAAGTTTCCGTTCAAAAAATTTTGTTAAGAGGGAGTAAAATACCTTTCTACCCTCATATTTTTAAATAAGCAAAAAAAAAAAAAAAAAGAAAGAAAAAAAAATTTAAATTTTAAAATAAATATTTTTTNATGCAGCAATAACAAGTTCAGCTTTAAATAATCAAAAAAAAAAAAAAAAGAAAGAAAAAAAAATTGAAATTTTAGACTAAATATTTTTTCCTCATTTTCAAGCGCAATACAACCGTTATTAGACAGAAAATGTGCTAATCAATGGGAGGTAATGAAAAATAATGTGATGAAAAATAATTAGAACAAAATATAACAATAAATAAAATTTGGGACCTTTAATGCATCTAAAATGTGACGCGTTTATAAAAATGTTATATATAGATAAAAATTATGTAAATCCATAATAAATCATGTATAAATATTAATAATTAGGTATTAAATTCTTAAAGGTTGCTGCAATATAATTACGAGAGAACACACTGATAATCTGAAAAGTTTAATACCGAAATTGTCTTCTTTATTTGATCCAAAATATCAGCCAGACATGTTCAAAACAGAATTCAAAGCTTCTCAAAAATAAATAACATTTATGCATATTCATTAGGCCTACAAACGATTTGCAATGTTTATGAGAATATCTATTATTACTTGCGCTCTTTTACTGGCTTGACTGATCTGCGGAGGTTCATTAACTCCACCTTCATCATAACTATCGTCACAGGTGGAAACATCAGATAAAGCAGTCGAGGTATGTGTTTGTAAATCGCTTATTTTAGATCTGTCTGTAGCATCAAGCAGAGGCCGGCACCCGTTTAGATTGTCAATGGCATCTTCAATAACTTCTATGCATGTATCAACTATTGGACCCTTGCCAACTGACTGAACCGCTTTTAGGGTTGCTTTGGTCCCCTCAAGGGCCATATTGAGTGCTATTGGACCTAAATCACGAGGAGTTTTTGCCCTTTGGGAACGAGGATCGGACCTCAAAACCTGATTACATAGAGAAGGAATAATATTCGCGGAGCAAATGTCATCAACCAAATCAGCTAGGCAACCACATAGGAGTACTAATGCAAGAGAAACCAAAATAAAGGATTTGGAAACCATTTTTTGGGTTCTAGAGAATTGTTTCTCTTTTTCCTTGGCAGATGGAATAAGTCTTACATATAATACTTGGTGACTGCAAAATATATGGAACAAAATCATGTTCGTGAAATCTGGAGAATAGTAGATATCTAATAACAATAATCACATGTTGAATTCATATAATTTCGTAGGTCAGATGCCCAAAATCATGTTCGTGAAATCTGGAGAATAGGAAATACGTAATGAATCTTCTTTCATGTATGTTTTATTTCCTAGTTGAATTTTAAATGGAGTAATAATATTCATCATTAATTGTAATTATGACCGATCTAGGTATTCTTTTGATTGACCTTATCTTGTTGAATGCAACTTCAGAATCCATT